ATGAGGTTTGTGACGCTGTGGTGTGTGTTGTTGGTGGGTGTGGCGGGGGGCGCTGCGGGGGAGCTGGGACCCCCTGAGAGGTCCTACAACATCCTCATGCTCCTCCCCGTCTCCTCCAAGAGCCACAGGAACGTCTTCGTGCCCCTCGCTGAAGTTCTGGCTCACCGTGGACACCAGGTCAGTCCTCCATCCTTACAGTTATTGTATTGAGGAGAACACCAGCACAATTACTGGTCATTTCTTTAAAAGAAATGACCAGTAATATATATATGAAATATATTCCTAATATATTATTTAAGTAATATTAAATGTGGAGGAAAATTATAATCTTAAAAGGATGTTCATCTTCACCTTGCCAGAGGTAAAATATACCACACGACGTTAATTACAGGGACAAACACTTAATTGTGTAGCATTGATTGAAAGGTGTAAGGTGAGGTCGTTGGTGGGTGAAGTAGTTGCTGGGTAAAGTTGTTGCTGGGTTAGGTCGTTGGTGGGTGAATTTGTTACTGGGTGAGTTCGTTACTGGGTGAGGTCGTTGCTGGGTGAGGTCGTTGCTGGGTGAGGTCGTTGCTGGGTGGGTTCGTCGCTTGGTGAGGTCTAATGGGTCAGATCGTTTTTGGGAGAGGTCGTTGGTGTGTGAGGCCATTACTGGGTGAGGTCGTTGCTGGGTGAGGTCGTTACTGGGTCAGGTCGTTGGTGTGTGAGGCCATTACTGGGTCAGGTCGTTGCTGGAGGAGGTTGTTGCTGGAAGTGGTCGTTATTGGGTGAGGTCGTTGCTGGACGAGGTCGTTACTGGGTGATTTCGTTACTGGGTGAGGTCCTTGGTGTGTGAGGCCATTACTGGGTGAGGTCGTTGCTGGGTGAGGTCGTTACTGGTTGAGGTCGTTGCTGGACGAGGTCGTTGCTGGATGAGGTCGTTACTTGGTGAGGTCTGATGGGTGAAGTCGTTACTAGGTGAGCTTGGTGCCGGGGGAGGTCGTTGCAGGATGAAGTCGTTGCCGGACCAGGTCTTTGCTGGACGAAGTCGTTACTGGGTGATGTCGTTGCCGGGGGAGGTCGTTGCTGGATGAGGTCGTTGCTGGACGAGGTCGTTGCTGGACGAGGTAGTTGCTGGGTGAGGTCTTTACTGGGTGGGGTTGTTGCTGGGTGAGGTCGTTGAAGGGTGAGGTCGTTGATGGGTGAGGTCGTTGCTGGACGAGGTAGTTGCTGGGTGAGGTCTGATGGCTGAGGTCATTGCTAGGTTAGGTCGTTGATGGGTGAGGTTTTGGCTTGGTGAGGTCTGATGGGTGAGGTCGTTGCTGGGTGAGGTTGTTGCTGGGTGAGGTCGTTACTGGTTGAGATCGTTGCTGGGTGAGGTCGTTGCTGGGTGAGGTCGTTGAAGGGTGAGGTCGTTGCTGGGTGAGGTTGTTGCTGGACGAGGTCGTTGATGGGTGAGGTCGTTGAAGGGTGAGGTCGTTGCTGGGTGAGATCGTTGCTGGGCGAGATCGTTGCTGGGTGAGGTCGTTGCTGGGTGAGGTCGTTATTGGGCGAAATCGTTGCTGGGTGAGGTCGTTGCTGGGTGAGGTCGTTGCTGGGTGAGGTCGTTGCTGGGTGAGGTCGTTACTGTTTGAGACCGTTGCTGGGTGAGGTCGTTGCTGGGCGAGATCGTTGCTGGGTGAGGTCGTTGCTGGGTGAGGTCGTTACTAGGTGAGCTTGGTGCCGGGCGAGGTCGTTGCAGGATGAAGTCGTTGCCGGACGAGGTCTTTGCTGGACGAAGTCGTTACTGGGTGATGTCGTTGCCGGGGGAGGTCGTTGCTGGATGAGGTCGTTGCTGGATGAGGTCGTTGCTGGACGAGGTAGTTGCTGGGTGAGGTCTTTACTGGGTGGGGTTGTTGCTGGGTGAGGTCGTTGAAGGGTGAGGTCGTTGATGGGTGAGGTCGTTGCTGGACGAGGTAGTTGCTGGGTGAGGTCTGATGGCTGAGGTCGTTGCTAGGTGAGGTCGTTGCTGGGTGAGGTTTTTGCTTGGTGAGGTCTGATGGGTGAGGTCGTTGCTGGGTGAGGTTGTTGCTGGGTGAGGTCGTTACTGGTTGAGATCGTTGCTGGGTGAGGTCGTTACTGAGTGAGGTCGTTGAAGGGTGAGGTCGTTGCTGGGTGAGGTTGTTGCTGGACGAGGTCGTTGATGGGTGATGTCGTTAAAGGGTGAGGTCGTTGCTGGGTGAAATCGTTGCTGGGCGAGATCGTTGCTGGGTGAGGTCGTTGCTGGGCGAGATCGTTGCTGGGCGAGATCGTTGCTGGGTGAGGTCGTTGCTGGGTGAGGTCGTTATTGGGCGAAATCGTTGCTGGGTGAGATCGTTGCTGGGTGAGGTCGTTGCTGGGTGAGGTTGTTGCTGGGTGAGGTCGTTACTGGTTGAGATCGTTGCTGGGTGAGGTCGTTGCTGGGCGAGATCGTTGCTGGGTGAGGTCGTTGCTGGGTGAGGTCGTTATTGGGCGAGATCGTTGCTGGGCGAGATCGTTGCTGGGTGAGGTCGTTGCTGGGTGAGGTCGTTGCTGGGTGAGATCGTTGATGGGTGAGGTCGTTGCTGGGTGAGGTCGTTACTGGTTGAGATCGTTGCAGGGTGAGGTCGTTGCTGGGCGAGATCGTTGCTGGTTGAGATCGTTGCTGGGCGAGATCGTTGCTGGGTGAGGTCGTTGCTGGGTGAGATCGTTGCTGGGCGAGATCGTTGCTGGGTGAGGTCGTTGCTGGGTGAGATCGTTGCAGGGTGAGGTCGTTGCTGGGCGAGATCGTTGCTGGGTGAGGTCGTTACTGGTTGAGATCGTTGCTGGGCGAGATCGTTGCTGGGTGAGGTCGTTGCTGGGCGAGATCGTTGCTGGGTGAGGTCGTTGCTGGGTGAGATCGTTGCTGGGCGAGATCGTTGCTGGGTGAGGTCGTTACTGGTTGAGATCGTTGCTGGGTGAGGTCGTTGCTGGGTGAGATCGTTGCTGGGCGAGATCGTTGCTGGTGAGGTCGTTGCTGGGTGAGGTCGTTGCTGGGTGAGGTCGTTGCTGGGTGAGATCGTTGATGGGCGAGATCGTTGCTGGTGAGGTCGTTGCTGGGTGAAGTCGTTCCTGGGTGAGCTCGTTGCTGGGTGAGGTCGTTGCTGGGTGAGATCGTTGCTGGGCGAGATCGTTGCTGGTGAGGTCGTTGCTGGGCGAGGTCGTTGCTGGGTGAGGTCGTTGCTGGGCGAGATCGTTGTTGGGCGAGATCGTTGCTGGAGAGGTCGTTGCTGGGTGAGGTCGTTGATGGGTGAAGTCGTTCCTGGGTGAGGTCGTTGCTGGGTGAGGTCGTTGCTGGGTGAGGTCGTTACTGGTTGAGATCGTTGCTGGGCGAGATCGTTGCTGGGTGAGATCTTTGCTGGGTGAGGTCGTTACTGGTTGAGATCGTTGCTGGGTGAGGTCGTTGCTGGGTGAGATCGTTGCTGGGCGAGATCGTTGCTGGTGAGGTCGTTGCTGGGTGAGGTCGTTGCTGGGTGAGGTCGTTGCTGGGTGAGATCGTTGATGGGCGAGATCGTTGCTGGTGAGGTCGTTGCTGGGTGAAGTCGTTCCTGGGTGAGGTCGTTGCTGGGTGAGGTCGTTGCTGGGTGAGATCGTTGCTGGGCGAGATCGTTGCTGGTGAGGTCGTTGCTGGGCGAGGTCGTTGCTGGGTGAGGTCGTTGCTGGGCGAGATCGTTGTTGGGCGAGATCGTTGCTGGAGAGGTCGTTGCTGGGTGAGGTCGTTGATGGGTGAAGTCGTTCCTGGGTGAGGTCGTTGCTGGGTGAGGTCGTTGCTGGGTGAGATCGTTGCTGGGCGAGATCGTTGCTGTTGAGGTCGTTGCTGGGTGAGGTCGTTGCTGGGTGAGGTCGTTGCTGGGTGAGGTCGTTGCTGGGCGAGGTCGTTGCTATGTGAGGTCGTTGCTGGGTGAGGTCGTTGCTGGGTGAGATCGTTGCTGGGCGAGATCGTTGGTGGTGAGGTCGTTGCTGGGTGAGGTCGTTGCTGGGTGAGGTCGTTGCTGGGTGAGGTCGTTGCTGGGTGAGGTCGTTGCTGGGCGAGGTCGTTGCTATGTGAGGTCGTTGCTGGGTGAGGTCGTTGCTGGGTGAGATCGTTTCTGGGCGAGATCGTTGCTGGTGAGGTCGTTGCTGGGTGAGGTCGTTGCTGGGTGAGGTCGTTGCTGGGTGAGGTCGTTGCTGGGCGAGGTCTTTGCTGGGCGAGATCGTTGCTGGAGAGGTCGTTGCTGGGTGAGGTCGTTTCTGGGTGAGGTCGTTGCTGGGTGAGGTCGTTGCTGGGTGAGGTCGTTGCTGGGTGATGTCGTTGCTGGGCGAGGTCGTTGCTGGGCGAGATCGTTGTTGGGCGAGATCGTTGCTGGAGAGGTCGTTGCTGGGTGAGGTCGTTGCTGGGTGAGGTCGTTGCTGGGCGAGGTCGTTGCTGGGTGAGGTCGTTGCTGGGTGAGATCGTTGCTCGGTGAGATCGTTGCTGGGCGAGATCGTTGCTGGTGAGGTCGTTGCTGGGTGAGGTCGTTGCTGGGTGAGGTCGTTGCTGGGTGAGGTCGTTGCTGGGTGAGGTCGTTGCTGGGTGATATCGTTGCTGGGCGAGGTCGTTGCTATGTGAGGTCGTTGCTGGGTGAGGTCGTTGCTGGGTGAGATCGTTGCTGGGCGAGATCGTTGCTGGTGAGGTCGTTGCTGGGTGAGGTCGTTGCTGGGTGAGGTCGTTGCTGGGTGAGGTCGTTGCTGGGCGAGGTCGTTGCTGGGCGAGATCGTTGCTGGAGAGGTCGTTGCTGGGTGAGGTCGTTTCTGGGTGAGGTCGTTGCTGGGTGAGGTCGTTGCTGGATGAGGTCGTTGCTGGGTGATGTCGTTGCTGGGCGAGGTCGTTGCTGGGCGAGATCGTTGTTGGGCGAGATCGTTGCTGGAGAGGTCGTTGCTGGGTGAGGTCGTTGCTGGGTGAGGTCGTTGCTGGGCGAGGTCGTTGCTGGGTGAGGTCGTTGCTGAGTGAGGTCGTTGCTGGGTGAGGTCGTTGCTGGGTGAGGTCGTTGCTGGGTGAGGTCGTTGCTGGGCGAGGTCGTTGCTGGGTGAGGTCGTTGCTGGGTGAGGTCTCTATTTGGAGGAGGTTGTTGCTGGGTACATTATAATGTTATATATATATATATATATATATATATATATATATATATATATATATATATATA